CTGGGGTAGGGAAGGAGGTGGGTAGTGAGAAGAGAAAATTGGAGGGGCAGCACACGGCAGTCCGCGAGTGGCCAAAGCAGCACGGTGCCATCGACTCCCTGTCCACACTGGACCCCTCACCTGGCTGCCTTCTAGTCATCTGGTCTACCAGCCGACAGGCTCTGGTGCAAATGCCCCCGCCAGCGCCCGGCGGCCTCCTGCTTCCTTCTAGGAGGTGCGGGATGAGGTCCTCTGCTCTTGACTTGGGAGGGGATAGCCCTCAGGCCTCTGACCCCTGGGCCCCTCAACCCCTAACCATTTCTGGTGCCCCGATCTCAGCCTGGTTTGTCTCCTGCCCCGTCTTCCTCCTCTGACTTCAACACCGTGTCATCACCATGATTGGGGCGTCTAGCCAGTTGGGTCTCTTTGTCCTGTATTACAACACAGTTTCTTGGAAAAAACTGCCAGTGGCCGTTCCAGTGCGCAAAAGCGTGGGCTGTTCGTCTCTCCTGACTTGCACCGTCACGGAGCGCTGCTGGGCCTGATGCTGCCCTCGGGGGGCAGGAGTTGTCCTGGGAACCCCGAGTTCTGAGTCACGGGAGCTGGGCTGGGGCCGCCACTCCTGATGGGACCACCCCGGGGTCTTCGGAGACTCAAGGTGGGGGGGTCCCAGTCTCCACCCTCCCCCGAGGTACCGTTTGTGATTTGTTGTCTGGGGTGGGTGATGGTTTCAGTCTCGCCCTTGGCCTTCCTGACTGGCATCTCTGACCCCAGAGAGGGTGTTGGTCATTTGCACATGTGAATCCCAGTTACATGCTTGGAGACCAGGAAGTGACGCCATTGCCCGCTGGGAGCCGGTCCTAGCAAGATTCCACTGTCAATAGCCTCCTGTGTCCCACCCTGGCAGGGCCCTTGAGGATGCGCCAGAGGTCAGTGTCAACTCAGGACCTGAATGACCAGTGGTTCTCAAATGTCTGGATGTCCCCTCCCTCTCCCTGAGCGCAGCCAAGGAGTAGAGGGCCTAAGGGCCAGGTGGGCGGGGCATCTGGGGGAGTCTGTTGTGCACACTTGCTGTTGGGGGAGGGTCCTTCCCCTTGGAGCGCGGCCACCTCTGCAGTCAGTGGGCCCAGGCCTGGCTCTCTCTGCCCTGCAGCTGGAGCTTCCTCATGAGTGAGCAGAGGCGGCCTCACACCTGGCCCCCAGCCACCTGCCCTGTCACCCTGCTGTCCGTGTATCTCAAAGCCCAGGCTGGGACGAGACCACCACCTGTGCCACCAGAGGCAGGCCCCTGTCGCCAGGCGCAGTGGGTGATCCAGCTCCAAACCCCATGGTATCAACTCTTCTTGGACCTCAGAGGCGACACGAAAACAAGTTTGGGGTGCAGGATGTTTATAAGGGAAGGGGGGAGGTCTGACATGTGCATCCAGAGTCCCACATGGGGCTTAAATGCAGGGTGTTTACACCCCGCCCGTCTCAGTCTCCCCGGCAGGTTACCCCTTGGGTGTCCTTAGAAGAGGTAGCAGAGCTTCACGTGAGGACACAGAAGGTGGCCTCTGCAAAGCCAGGACGGGCGCTCCGCCAGGAACCAAATCACAGAAGGCGGCCTCTGCAAAGCCAGGACGGGGGCTCCGCCAGGAACCAAATCACAGAAGGCGGCCTCTGCAAAGCCAGGACGGGGGCCTCCGCCAGGAACCAAATTGGCCAGTGCCTTGACCTTGGACTTCCAGCGTCGAGAACTGGGAGAAATCAATGTCTGTGGTTAAGCCTCCGAGCCTGCGGTGTTTTGTCCCGGCAGCGACCGAGACAGGCTGCTCCTGATTCTTGAGCCACGGCCGCAGCCTTCCCTGGAGTGGACTTTATCTCTAAGCCTCCACACGGTACGTGCGCTCTCTGCAGCCGCCACTGCCCTGATCGGCTGGGGTGTGGAGGGGTGCCTCCAGACCCACACGTCCCTGCCCAGCCTCAAAGCCCTTCTGCAGTCGGCCAGCTCACCTGATGGCCCTGCCTGGACGACCAGTGTCACTGCCAGCCAGCTGTGTGCCAGACACCTCTCCCTCGGGCCAGCCTGGGGGGCTCCCTGCTCCTCCAGGGCGGTCTGGGGAGGCCTCCGGGGGGCGCACTTGAGCTGGGCCACCGCGTCTGAACCTTTGTCATCCACTGATCCCCTTCCCTTCCCCACTTGCTTCGCTTCGAGGCACTTCATTTACATGAAAATAGAGAAAGCCAGTGCACTGTCTCACCCCGTGAGGGTTCAGACAGGGGCCCTGCGGAGCGCCACCCTTCCAAAGGGGCCTGAAAAGTAAAATGCGGCCAACTGCCCCAACACCATCGGCCTCCCACCCTGGGCAAGGCGCCAGGACTCCCAGAACCCCAGAAGGCGGGGGTGGGCCTTCCCGGGGCAGAGGATGGGACGCTGCCGGCTTCTCCCCAGGAGCCCATGGGGTGACTCACGGTTCCCCTCGGCCAGACACCCTCGCTGTGCCCGTCTGGGGAGAGTCCTGGTCCCTCACTGGGCGAGGGCCCCGTCTGGGTCCCACAGCGGGGTCGTTTGAAGGCCAGGACCACGGCCACTGCAGAGGGGAAGGCGCCCACCACCTGGGCTGCTACGCCACAGCTGGCGCAGCGGGCACCGGCCTTGTTTACTGAGCCAGAGGAAGCAGAGTCTGGGCACCGAGAGGCAGGGCGCCGTCGGGGGTGGCCTCCGTGCCCCAAGCACCAGGCCCCCTCCTGCCGTCAGCCCCAGACTTGCGCCAGCTGTTACATCTTGCCTTCACGGTGGCCAGCCACCGGCCGAGCTGAATGGGGCCCTTCGCCAGGCCAGCCTCAGGAGCCAGGCAGGCCCAGTTCCACTGCACACGGTCACCTCGTAGCTGAGCCACCGCCAGAGCAGCTTGTGTCCTCTGGGCTCCAGTGTCCTTGCTGTCCAGGCTCTGGCCACACTGACATGGCGTTCCGTGTCCGCGCTCTGGCCCTCCGGTTTGCCCTGGAGTCCCGGGTCTGGATGCGTCTGCTCGGGTGGGTCCGGCGCAGCCCAGGTCTGCCGACGAGGGGAGTGAAGGAAGGGGACCTGCTCCCAGGGGTCTTCCGGGGTCTGAGCCCGTCCAGCTGCGGTGGCCGTGCCCCCTCCCGCCCGTGGTGGGACTCCTGATGCGTTAGAAACCTCGGGCCTTGTCTCATATCATGTCTGATGCTGGCCCCCAGGCCCAGTGCAGGATCCCCCAGGTTGAGGGGGACCACAGAAGGCAGGGCCCCCGCAGGCTCTGGGACGGCCTGGGGCCCCAGGGGCGCCCACTGCTGCCTCAACCCTCCACTATATTGACTGACACAGACTGGGACCCTACTCTGGGCCCACCTGGGCTCCATGGAACCCACACCAAGCTGAGTGCCCTGTGCTGAGCCCAGGGCTGTGTCCAGGGCCAGGCCCTGCCTGGGGTCCCTGTTCTGTGGACATGCCACTGGGGGCCTCCCTCCCATGTGCCGTGGCCCTGGGTGACCCAGAGGGGCGGGCCGGGGGGTGTGCAGGTGAGGACGCCTCCTTTCCCGGCTTTCCCAGCAGACTTTGCCCGGAGCCGCCCGCTTGAGTTTTGTGGTAAAATCACTTCCTGCTCCAGGCACGGCAGGCAGCGCCTCCTCGGTGGGAACCGAGTCCTACTCAGCCCTGAGCCTGGAACTTCTCTCGCCATCCTCCCTCCCTCCCTAGGCCTGGTCAGCCTGGGGGCGGCAGAGCTTCTGGGGTGAGTGTCGGGATCCTGGTGCTCTGAGAGCGATTGTCAGGGAGGGGCCCCGGCGGGGCAGGGTTCCTGAGCAACAGGCAGGATGGGGCCAGAGTGCGCGGGCCAGGCCAGGGCCAAGGCTCTCAGATGCTCCAGACCCCTTTCTCTCTGTCTCTACCTCTCTGTCTCTGTCTGCCCCTCTCCATTCATAAGCAGCCTGTTCAGTGTCCCATTTATGCCTCTTTTAGTTTTACTGAATTTCTTTTCTTCCCTGATGTTTAACAGATTTAATCTAAGCTTTTCCTGCCGTTTGAAGTGAAGGGAAAGTCACTTTGTTCCTGGGGACACTTGAGTGTTTATGACAACACGTGGCCCAGGACATGGCTGCTCCATCAGAGGAAGGGTCTTTTCTAGTTGAGAGGACAAGCTTTGGGGGCAGGCTGGGCCCCCCAGTCCCAGGAGTACACTCAGCTCTGCGGCTCTGGGGCCCTATCTGTCTCCAGGGTTCTGGCTGCAGCCCGGGGGTGGTCCAGTCTGTGCAGCGACCTTCAGGCCATTCCTCTCTGATTCCTGGCGAGTACAGGCTGCATCTGCCCAGACCGCACAGCCCTGAGTA